TTGATGAGCACTTACATGACTTCCACATCTTGCCTATTGTGCATAAACACGGGAGTGCAAATATCTGTTTGACACACTGATTGTGTTTCCTTTGGAAATATACCCAGTAACAGATTGAGGGATCATACTGTAATTCCATCTTTAGTATTCTGAGAAACCTCCATCCTATCTTCCGTAGTGATTGTACTAGTGTGGCAGAGACCCACTATTTTTCTCCACTTCTTTGTTGATATTCTGGAGTCAAAATTTGGGGAACTATAATAGTGTTTTAGTAAATGTTAATGTATGTTTTGGGAATTGAAAGAAGGCAGCTGCATCTTCAGGAAATTGGGAAACACTCAGTGAAGCAACGTATTCCACCTGTGTGCACATCCAGACAGGCCGCTGAGGGTCCACCAGGTCTATGCACTCATGGACCAAGCCAAGCATAGACATGACCCTGAGGGTGGCTGGTGGAGAACTGGGTCTGCCAAAGTACATCTACCTTCTGGTCTACATATAGGAAGAACCAAAAACTTCCTATAAAATATTCTAACTGGTAGATGAAAGATGCGATACAGGTGCAGAGCGTTAGCGCTCTTCCAAGTCCCAGCCTCATGTATGGACTTTATTCTTTAAGGGGGTGTCCACCTAGTCTTGGAGCTTTTAGGGCTTCCTTAGGTATCGATGGCTAGTAACTCTCAATAAAGACATTGTTATTTCTCTTTTGGAAATTTGGAAATTTCTCTTTTTGCCCCTAATCCTCACTTTTTGGGATTTGATATACATGGTGAGATCGCCATATGTGGTGAATGTTTAAATTTTAAAAATGTATTGCAGTAAAAGGGATATGAGCATTAAGCCCCATCAAATACTCCCCTTTGCTTTGAACACACTAATCCCAGCGTTCCTGCCACTTTCTGAAGCAGTTCTGGACGTCTTCTTTCATGTCTTTATGAGGTTGTGTTCAAAAGTATCCTGAACGCTGCTGCTGAGTCCCACGCAGTGTAAAGGCAGCTCATAAAACATGACGCTGTGTCCTCATCCACTTTATTCTCCAGATCCGGCACTGTGCAACCTCTGCCTCTTCGCCAAGGTCAAAATGACCATAAAAGGTAAGTGTTTCGAATCAATCCAGGATGTTGCAGTAGCCATGTCAGCACAACCAGAGACGCTCATGAAAGAGGACTTCCTAAATGCTTCAGAAAGTGGTAAGAAATGTACATAAGTGTGTTGACGAGAGTGAGAATAGTTTGAGGGGGATTAATGGCAATGTGTTTTTTACGGTCATAAGTTAAATTAAAAAATATTTGCTATATTTTCCAATCATACCACACATTCCAAAGTTATATTTTATACTTAGAGCACACATTTTTCCCTCGGTGTTTTGCCTTAGGTGACACACACACATTTTGTTTGGGGTCCCCCAAATTGACTATCTTCAGAGAACATACCCCACACTTTGGGCATGCTGTCCCTCCCCAGCTTCCATCAGAGTGGGGAATGTTTTTGCTGCCCGACAGTTTGTAACTGAGCTTCACCTAGCCCCCTTAAGTCCTACTTAGGACATGCCAGATGGTCAACATTTTTAAGGCAGGGCATGCCTTAGCGCTTCAGATTTTGTTTTCTGAGGATACCTTGCTTCCCAGTCCTGGGATCTGAGGTGGATTTTATATGTTCCAGAGTGTGATGCGTGTCCACTGCTGTCTTCCTGGGTGCATCTCGCAATGTGCAGCGATGGAGGTTGTGGCTGAATTTCAACCAGCTCTAGTCCCAGAGAAGTAGCCATATAGAAAAACATCATCACATGACTTGATACTTTGAAAATAAAATCTAGATTTCCCTACAGCGAATACGTGGCCTCCTACCGTTTTGCCATCTGGTGCTCCACCTATTTTGGCGTTGCTTCCCCTCCTCCCCTTCTTGTCCCCGGGAGGACCTTGGAGCAGGCTGTTCGAAGATCTGCCACCTGGCCAGGTCAACTGGTATAACCCTGGGTGCCTGCCTGGAGCCAGCATTCAAAATGCCCCCTGCCACACCTCACTCCCAGGTCATAATTGAGTGACCCAGGGGTAGGGTCTTGTCCCACACTGGGCTAATCAGCCTCTTTCCCTGGAAATGAGCAAATGGTGTTTTCACATTGTGTAGGCAGAGGCAGTCTAAGTTAGTGAGAAGAGCGAGGCCACACTGGGGAGAAGCACAGCTGAGGGACAAAGGGATCCCGGGAGCGTTGGGATCCAGTTGTTTGGGAGGTCGTCTTTATCCCCTTCCTCTCATGGCTTCTAACCTAAACATTCTCCTTTTTTCTGAGTTTCCTTCTAGGGTTCAGTCTCTTGCAACCAAAGTTATCCTCATTATTACAGTGAAGTTACGTAATGTGCTGCCGGTGTAAAGTTATATACACAGTGACTGCATCTCATGCCAGGGTTGTGTTCTTCACGACCCTTTGTGATTGATCCTGGGGGGATATTGCTATTTCCCAGCTAAGGTTGTGCTGCCAGGTATAAGTACCACACATACCGTATATAGTTTGCTTGTTCTTTCAAGCATTGACTGTGTCAAAGATTGTAGGGATGTTTTTCGCTCCTTTCTTCTTATTTTAAATTTGAGGGTGGGGAGATTTTTGATAGTTATAAAAATTCACAAAAATTATTCCACATCTTTCTTCTCAGAAGATTCAAGATTTAGCTTTTCTGGACATTTCTAGACAGTTTCCAAAGTGATTATATTAATTATCCTTCCATTGGCAGTGTAGATTTTTAGTTACTACGTGTTTTTAGCATCTTCTGATACTGTCAGTCTTTTTCATTTCAGTCATTTTACATTCAGTGGCTAGGTAGTGGCATCACATACTTATAATTTGCATTTTCCTAATGACCAAGGAGCTGGAGCAGTTTATGGATGGCCATTTGGATATTATATATTACGGAGTGCTTGTTCAAACCTTTTACCCATTTTCCTGTTGAGCTGATTCTCTCAGACTTATTGATTGAGGTACACTATATATTCTGGACATGGCTTTTGTTGGGCATAGGTATTGTAAATATTTTCTCCCATGTATGGTTTCCCCTTTTGTTCTTTTACCATTGTCTTTTGCAGAATAGAAATATTTTATTTTAATGAAAAAGAAAACCTTCCAATATTCTTCCTGTATGGTTAGCACTATTTTGTACTTTATTGAAGAAACCACTTCCCTAAGGCCACAAAATTATTCTCCTCCGTTCATTTCTGTGAGTTTGATTGCTTTACTGGGTCTGGTTTGGTCGTCTGTGTACCCCCTGGCCCCACATATGAATTCTGTGTGTTATCTCCTGTGACCCACGTTGACACTCTTTATTATCATGCTAGCTAGAAGCACACTGGGTACCTGAGATTAGGCAACTCTTGGTGAAGGAAGATAGTATCTATGACGCATTGCATTTGGCTGAAAGTAAAAAAAACCAGAAAGCTGTGGCTTAAACAAAGTAGGGCAGTGGTTCTCAAATTTGCTGCATGCAGAATCACCTGGGAGCTTTGAAAAACTTCATTTCCGGGCTTCACACCATAGCGATTCAACTTGAGGTAACAATAATATATAAAGCGCCTCTGGTGAGGCCATTGGTCAGCTAGAGGTGCAAACCACTGGTTAGGGGATTGTTTTTCTTTAACTTAGCAAGAAATCTGAAGCTAGGCAATTCAGGGTGGGAGTTTCAGGTTAATAAAGCATTAAGGACACAGGTTCCTCCTGTCGCTGAGTTCTGCAATCTCTTTATCTTCTTAGTTATAAACGAACTGCTAAAACCCCAGAAGTCAGGTCCATACTCCACAGGCTAAGAAAGAGGAAGAACCAAGGGTAAAAACTACGCCTAACAAGTTCCGCTTAATTATTAATGACAAGGACTTCATCACATTGTCAGTCGTGTCCACAGGTTAGGTTGGGAAATATATTTATGGCATTAGGCGCCTTGCCCTTCTCCAAAAGTTAGGATTCTATTAGTAAAGAAGGATGGAGAGTTGATACTGGGCAGACAGTCATTTCTAAGGTATTTGTTAAACAAAAACTAACAGGTGCCCGTTAGTGTTTCTTCTTGTCCTAGCCCATTTGGGGGTACTATATTGGCATATCATAAACTGAGCAGCTTATAAACAACAGAAATGGCGCATTGCTCTGGAGGTGGGAGGTCCAAAATGAAAGGCAACAGCAGATTCTGTATCTGTGACTGCTCCCTTTCACTGTGCCCTCACACCGTGGAAGGGGCAGGGACCTCTCTGGGACCTCTTGTAAGGGCAGTGATCCCATTCACAGGGGCTTCACTCTCATGACCTAAAGTCCTGCCAGCAAATACCACTGCCTCAGCGTTAGGACTTCCATGTAGAAATTCGGAGGGTGCATAAACATGTAGACCATGCCATCTTCAAATCTCTGAAACCGTCAGTGTATAGGAGAAACGTCTATGTCATGCAGTCTAATTATAAATAAAACAATGAGATATTTTCTAAGGAGGTCAAAGCATATTTAGCCTCCTGTTTCTATACGTCTTACTGACAATGAGGTCTTCGTCATGAAGAAGTATATTTCTTTTCTTATTTCATATTTCCTTTTCAATTCCTAAGACCCTTCTAATTTAAAACCATATTTCCTTAACAGTATGAGGTCAAAGAAGCAAGAATGTTCCCAGTGTTTTGAGGAACCATGCACGTGAGGTACCATCGTAGGGTGGGAAGCAGAGCATGTGGTGCAGGCCTCGGAGCTCACCCTTCCTGGTGGATCAGGTGCTTCTCCACCTCCTCCCGACAGCCTTCTCTGCAAGGAAACATGACTTCTTATTCCTGGATGCTCTCCAGGTTTGTGTTCCAGTTCTGGGCTGTGGTCTTCTGCAAAGCCCAGGTGTACCCCTTTCACACTGAACTTGGATCTCAGGAGCTTCTGCAACACTTTGCCAAAAGGCTGACATCATGGGGGTTTGTCATAATGAGGGCACAGGAGATATTAAGCAAGGTGCCTGGCCCCAAGGCAGTTTAAAAAGGCAGACAGATGGGAACCAGCAGCTGAGTTAACATACAAGGCAAGAAGAGCAGCAGAGGCTGGGCTTGAGATCCAAGCTGCACTCACTGTGAGCAGGAGGCTAGGTATCACCGAAATGGGGAAGCTGGGAGGCTGTATTAGGCTATTTTCTGCTGTTCTAACAAAATACCAGAGGCTGGATAATGCAAAGTAAAGTTGATTTAGCTTGCAATTTTGGAAGCTGAAGACCGATATTGAGTGGCGCTATCTGGCTTCTGGTGACGACCTTATGGCAGACGCCATTATGGTGGGAGCATGCACAAGAGGGGTCATGCGGTGAGAGAGGAAGCCAGAGACTGGGGAGGGGCTAGGCCTGCTTCTTTTAGTTATAAAAACCAGGGTCCCAAAAGAGCCAGGTAGGTTAGTGCCTTCAGAAATTGGTGCCCTCGTGACATCATTGCCTCCCACTAGTCCCGCCTCTTAAAGGAACACCACCTCTTAACCCTGCCACACGAGGGACCACGCTTCCAACTGGGGTCGGGCGGGATGAGCCACATCCAGACCACAACAGAGGATAGGTGAGAGCCGGGCCCTCACATGTGCGGAGAGAGAGAGACAGTATGCGGAGCTGTCCTGCATCAGATACTCTGTCTACAGCGTGGACAGTCAGATCCAGATGCAGCAAGTGGCTCTGATCAAGATGCGGGAATGAGTGCTGAAGTGGGAATGAGGAATTCTCAAGGAGAAAGGACAGGGTGCGCAAGGAACAAGGGGACCTGACTTCAGGGTCACTGATGTGGCAGGGCAGGAGGAGGCTGAAGGCCAAGAGGAATCAAGCGAGAGCTGGGGCCTCTCACCTAGGAGGGGCACAGCCCAGCCAGGTGCCTGGTAGGGCTCTGTGTCCCTGGCAGACACAGGTTTGGGAGCCACTGGCCCTATGAATGAACGTCCATTTGGCTGGCAGAGATGCAAGTAGAATTCCCCCATCATCCTCCCACCTGCATTTCAGTGAGTTCCAAACAGGAGGCTTCTCATCGTCGCATACATATACTGTACTTCTCTTTTTATGAAGTTAGAATTAGCTGTGTTTGTTTTGCTTTGCTTGTTTGTTTTCGCTGGCCATGCTTTATTTGTTCTTTTTCTTTAAACAGGATAGCCAAAGATACAGACAGTATTCAATAAAATAAAGTAGGTAAAATAAATTCTAAGAGACTTGGATGCCACATGCTACATTTAAACTAATTTTATTCATCCTTGCCTTGGGATGAGAAGTAGATCATTCAGTCAAAACACATAGCAAAACCAAAAAGTGTCTTATTGTGTACCACTTTTAAACTACAATAATGATGTACCTCAATTACTTCCATGCACACTAGTCTAATATTACAGTTTTTTAAAAAATAAACACAGTTAAGACTTCTAGGAGCATATTGTAATACTTCCTAATTTTTCTTTGTAGATAGATCAAGCACATCCAAAATACAAATTCCTGTACACAGTGAGTACATTATCTCAGATGAACATTTTGGTACACGGAGACAACCTTGGGAGAAGTTGATGGGATATCTTCAGCTAGGTAGGTGTCACACCATAGTGCCAAATGCATAAAGTGTAGCTGCAAATGAATTTTTTAAAAGTAACTTCATTTTCATCATGAAAGACAGAAAGCATACTGCTTTGGTAAAACAAATAAGATGTGATGTTTCAACACTTCACTCTAAAGAAGGGATACCAGAACAATACTGATGATGCATGGGTTTTAGAAGAGTTTCCCGCAATGGTTTCTGGCTGAATACAAGTCACACCATGGAGCTACGGATTACGTGGGTTTTGCCATGTACTTTTGTTACCCTGAGGTACGTAACACATGTGTCCCAAATTTGGCATTCACTTTCAATTGCTGCTGGTAAGGTGTGTTTTAAGAAATGTGCACAGTGTGAAAAATTTGAAAATACTAATAACTGAAAAATGTTTTAGGAAAAAATAGGTATTTCCATACCGTTGTCTACAGTCTCACTGTGTACATTTTAAGGTAAGAGTTTTGTTCCTGCAAGACAGACCACTGTTCTAGGAGAGGAGGTCTTAGCACATTTCTTTTGTCCTTTCCCCTGTTACATTATTTGCTCGATTCTTTTTTGTGTGCAAACAGCATGCCAGGTAAAATGAAAATGATCTCACATGTAGAAAAAGTCTGGATTTTTAAAACTGAGAGATGATAAAATCCTTACTAAAGGACATCATCTGATTCAAGTTAAAAAATAAATGACTTGGGGGCTGGGGATTTAGCTCAGCGGCAAAAGCGCCTGCCTGGCAAGCGCAAGGTGGTGAGTTCGGTTCTCGGTACCGGAGAAAAACCAAAAAAAATAAAAAATTAAAAAAAAAAATGACTTGAACACTGGTAATAAAAAAGACAGGAACACAGAGAGGAATGTGCATGTCTCGGGACGCTGCTGTAGGTCCTCAGGGGCATACGCGGGGATGCCTTCAGCGCAAAGGGACTTCAGGGGGCACCCCAGGGGTGCACATGGGCTCCAGCTGCTTGTTAAGCAAGAACTCCTGCTGCGGTTCAGAAAGCCTTCCCTGCTTCCTCTCTCCCCAAGCTTTTGGTCCTTGTTTGGCTTGATTTCTTGGTTTCTTGGTGTGTTCTTTCCTGCTAGAAAAACGTGTCTGAGTAACTCGTGTATTTTCCTACCCTACCTGCTCGTCCTTCCTGATCTCACAGCAGGACTGGCTGATGAGGTCCTGGGCTGACTGGTACAGTGCTTCCAGCTGAGCCAAGTCGGTCCGGCCTTTCTCTGGTTCTCCCAGCTTATTGAGCTGGAGGTCAGCTTTTCATTTCTAGCTGGGACACAGAACTATTCAGGTCATCTAATTTGTCCCCAACACCAGTGGGCTCATGCTGTGCGCTGAACCGAATACATCCCTTGATAAAGGAATCAAAATCAAACCCTTGATGCTTTTTCCTGTTCAACTTCGCCAGCTGCCGGGACGCTTCCTCAAGTGCTGTCAGTGCCTCCACGAACTGCGCCTATCACAGTTTGCCTTGCTTGCCTTTCTGAGCAGCTTTCTCTTTGCTTTGTTCTTTCCAGCTGGAAAGATCTATAATAAGGCTGGGCTCACAGTAATGCTTAACTTCACTCTCCCTCCAAACCAAGTTACCTGAGTGTGACAGTGACCTCGTTTTGTAGTTGCAGGGGTGGCCCCGCTCCACTTCACAGTACTTGTTCTCTCTGTGATCTGGGTACTGCCAGCAAGGCTCAGTGGAGCAACTGGTATCAAGAGCAGGATCTTCCCGGTGCTCCTCTTGGTCTCCATCCAAGTGGTTTGAGGATCCACTTGTCCTTCTTTATCAGTGACGTCAGACAGGGCTCGTGGGTCAAGCCGAACTGCATCCATATCCTGCTGTTGTGCATAGGCCAATTATGTGCAGAAAGCCGACGGTCGTGTTATCTTTCCCAGCTATAAATGAGGCCATGACTTTCATCCCAGAGCAAAATATCCTCAACCTCCTCCTCCATGTGGAAAGGATAGGTGGACATGGGCTCTTCTGTTGGGAAAGCATGTATGCTGGCATGTGGGTGAGACAGGGCCTCCTTGGCTAGCCACTGGTTCATGGGTTAAGTGTCAGCACCTGCTCCAGGAAGTCCAGTGTGCAGAGCCGTCACAGGTCTCCATTTAGTTCAGCAATGCCGTATGCCCATCCATAGCCAGGATCCGGAAGGGGAACGGGGAGCAAACAGGGTCAGAGCTAGGAAAACGGAGCTCTTTCTGGGCTCTGGAAGAGGCTGCAGAAGAGCAGAGAAACAAACCCTCACCTAAGGGTCAGGTCAGAAAGAGGGAGGTGAGGGTCGGGGATGTAGCGCAGCAGCACAAGTGCCTGCCTGGCAAGTGCAAGGAACTGAGTTCCATTCCCAGTACAGAAAAAGAAAACAGAGGGAAGCAAGAATAGAAGGTCTGAGTTCCCCTTAGACTGTGTGCCGATTGTGCAGGAGAAAGGACACACCTCATCTAACTGTGTTCTATATGTTAACCAAATCTTGCTGTTTAAAAAGCTGAACATCAAGCCACCCATGGTGGTGCAAGCCTGTAATCCCAGGACTCAGGAAGCTGAGGCAGGAGGATCACTGCAAGCTCCAGGCCAGCCTGGGCCACAGAGTAAGTTCAAGGCCAGCCTGAACTACACAGTGAGACCCTGTCTCAAAAAAAACCCCAAAAACCCGAACATCATATGATTGTCAGAGTCCAGACAGATCTGGGGTAGAATAGACTCAGCCCGAGGGTAGGAGAAAGAAAGCAGCCTCCCACGCCCATTGGGCCACTTCCTAGCCCAGGCTCCTCTGCCGCCCTAAGCACTTTCTAGTCATCTTTTGTCCCATCTGAAGGGGTGGAAGCTCGTAGAAGGGACACGCACTAGGCCGAGAGTCACAATGGTTTAGACAGCAGCAAAAACAGGAGACAAACACAGAAGGTGAGAAAATACACCCAGTCCTCAGTGTTGCCTTGGATGGCTGCTCCCAAATGCCTCCTGATCCCAATCCCACTCCTGTCTGCCTCCCTCTGGCTTGAGAGAGGCTTGTTCACAAAACGTCAAACTGAGGAGGCCCCAGGCTTCAGGTAGCTCCCTAGGCCATGCCGCTGTTGCTTGATGTGGGCTGTACGCGCACACACACACACACACACACACACACACACACACACGGGCGAGTTCAACACCCAGAGTCTTCTGTTAATGCTATTAAGAGATAGGAAACCTGATCCTACTATGGTACTTAGAGGTGGAGCCTTTGGGGAGTGATTAGATTAGATTAGGTTGTTAGGGTGCAGTCCCTGTGATAGAATGCTGGTGGCTTTATAGGGAAAGAGAGCACACAGGTAGAGGTACACATGATACGTGGCATAGCTCAGATCGGCCTTTGGCAGGCCTGTACCACACTGTTTAGACTTTGTACCTCCAGAATGGTGAGCTAAAATAAGCTTCTTTTCCTCATAAAGTAGCCTGCCTTGGGTATTTTGTCATACTAGTGAAAAGCTGACTAATATAGCAGTTGATCTGATTTATAAAATAGGTCATGAAAACTGGGCTTCCAGTGTGATGGAAATTTTTTAAAATTTAAAAATTCACCTGTAGTCTGCTACCATATTAGGACAAAAGGAGATTGTCTTGGTTACTTTTCTCTCGTTGCTGAGACAAAATACCCAATGCCTAAAATGAAGGAAGGAAAGGTTTATTTAGCTTACAGTCTGTGGAGGTTTCAGTCCATACTTGGCTGGCTCTAAGGCAGAAGATAGCAAAGCAACAAGAGCAAAGGGGGGAATGGCAGCGAACAGTAAACAGCCAGAGCAAAAGGGAGAATGCCCCCAAGCAGCTTCTTCCCCTGCCTTACATTGTAAACAGGCTACCCCCACCTAAGGGGCATGTAGCTCTCACATAATTTCCATGCCCTCCTCTTCCACAGGCTCAGGATGTCTACAAAGTAAGCACCATGGCTTCCTGCTAAATCACTTAGCCAAACCTCTAGACTCCCCAAGTTGACACAATGTATCAACCATAACAGAGATCATGCAGCCCACCCCATAGCTCCTCTGTTAGACTCACTCAGCCTTGACTGGCTACCCCAGAGATAGCCTGGCCCAGCTCAGTGTGACCCAACGCAGCTGCACAGCCTGTACTTTCCAGCCTCCAAACATACCATTTACTAACTTGTTTCAAGGACTTTCTGCCCAGCAGCGAAGAATAACTGACGCTACCCAGTAAAAATTCACCATGCTTTTAAGCCTTTGTACTTCCTGCTTGCAAACCTATATAAACTAAGCCCAAAACCGGCTCTGGGCTGATGCTTTGGGAGCGATCCCCCATCAGCCCGCTGGCGTAATAAAGTTGGTTGCCTTCCAACTCCTTGGTGCAGGGCATTTTCCATTCTATTTGGTTTGCAACATTACAAGTATTTGAATATGATTCATATACTAGGCAATATAGTAATTAGTATATTTATGTAATTAAAATAATATATACTGTATTAATGTAATAGCATATACATTTTATTATCAGTATATTAATATAGGATATATATTAATATAACATATAGTAATATATAACATGCTAACGGGCAGCACATATATTAATAACATATAAGCCATGTATTCCTGTGTAACTGGGATCTGAATGGAAAGTCTGGGATTCAAGCCAGGTTTGAGGACTCAATCCCTTGGTTCACATTTAAGGTAATGGTTGCTGGAGATCCGGCCAAGATCCCCAACGGCCTGTATGAAGGGTATGGTGAAGGATGAAAGAAAAGACAGAGGCAAGTTAGTAATGCGTAACAAGGGGGTTGTGAGGTCAGTGCCTCAGGATGGGCAAAGACGAAGACTGTCCAGCTCACCACTATTTTATCAGCCAGTGCCTGGGGAGGGGTAGTGACCGATTCCAGAACAGTAGTGGCGACTACAGTGGGCTGGTAAAAGAACAAAGCATTCTGGCAAGGATGAGACAAGGGCCAATAAGGAAGCTACTTTTTCCCAGGGGAAACTTACTACTGTACTTTATTGCTTTACCTTGCGCTGTGAGTGCCATGGCGT